TTTTAATTAAAAAGCTCGTTAAATACCAATCATCGGTCAATATTATAATACCATAAGAAAAAAATCATAAACCGAATGGTCAATTTTAAACTGATCAGCTGGATTAACAAAAAAAAATTATACTATAGTATATACACACAGCGGTAATTTATCGTATCGTAAAAGGTAATCTCGAGTGTAATACCTACACAACAGCTCTCGTCCGAATACAAAATGAGATCGTAAATTCGAACGAAAACTGTATACGTACGATCTATACCAACGCCACAAAAACTACTAAAATATTAATTATTATTAAAGTAAGTACCTAATAATATATGCTAAAATTAAAACTAAAAAAACACCGTCGAAAATACCACGTGGTGGCTAAAAAACGGTCCATACGAGATATTTCTTTTTCGTGTGCGAAAGGCCAACCGGTGGTGCGGTGCGCGAGGGGTTTGCATATATATCACATCGGTCCTTTCAAAAGGAAACACCGTATATTCTATACCACCCGAAGGCTATTATTCTTTATTCCAGTCGACAGCCGAAGAGCTGTTCTTTGTGTACGTTCGTGCGCGTGTGCGGGCCAATGTTTATTGCTTTTCTCGCCCTATTCTTCCGCGCACGCCGCCGCTACTGCCGCAGCCGAACATGCCCGAGACGAGCTTCCGGTGATAGTTTCCTCCTGCACGTCTAACGATACTAATTTTATTTTTCCAGCTTTCAACTCCGATAGCGCCGCAGCAGACTCGAGGCTGTCGTGAATTTTCGGTTTGCACAGAGGCAACGTGGTCGGGGAAATATTATATGATTATTTATGAACGGCGGCGGAGCGACACCCTGGGGAATTCATATCACCGCCGCACGAGGCGGTAAAAACAAAAATAATAATGTTGACGAGTTTCAGACGAAAAGTTTGTTTCTATTTATTCTTCAATGTGAATGCTCCTCTGCGCGGGGGCAGGTGTCTCAATATTCTGTGGATTACTCAACACTTATACCATTCGATACGCGCATTTCAAATACTTAGTAACGAACCAAAAGTAAAACACACACCGAAGTTGAACAGTAACTTTGACACAGTATATGCAGGGAATAATTTCGAATCAAGTCAAAAACATTTTATGGCATTTTTCAGAATACAAAATTAAACGAGATTATATTTCCGAAGACCGCACATTTCATACCTGTCGTTGTATATGTAACAAAATATAACCTTTTATAATGATGTCCCACCGGAATATTACAGCGGTACTCTCATGTAGTGTTAATGTTTAGATTTCAGGTAAAGATTTCATACAAATATTTCTTATAATAGGTACGTACCTACTGTTTTAAAACTATGTGGAAAATCTGTTTAGGTGCTTACTCAAAATGTATATGGATTATATTATAAAAAAGTTATATACTTACATAAGAAAATAAAATAACAACGAGTTAAAAACAATTTTTTTTCTTGGTTTCTAATTATTTTATGTGTATACGAGCTGTATAATAACGCAATCTAATGTGCAACATATTATATAAAAACGATTTTCAAAATTAACGTTAAAACCAAGACAATAAGTCATAATTTTTAATCATGTACCTATTATGATTTATTATAGATATACAATAATACTTTACCTACAAAAGCAGGATATATTGTAGTATTATCAGTATAAACATTGTACAAGTAAAAAGCTAGGTATACTATTAAATCATTTATATCATATTATATAGAATCATTTGGTAAAAACATTTTTCGACAGACGCTTTTAATTAATTTTCGCAATGCCCGTATTAATTTATCAAAGGTCTATCTGCAAACGGACGGTCAGATTAATGGATGTCGATCAGGAGAGCACGTGTTATCACATCTACTACAACGGAGGGAAACACTTGACGTGAAACACCTCACGATTTTTCTTCGCTTTCGCTAAGGGTTGCCGTTTCGCGTGTTTCCGTATGTATGTAAGTGTGACTGTGTCGGTGGGTAGGCCTTTCGGTGTGTGTGTGTGTGTTTGTGGATACGTTTGTACCGCAATAATCATGAAACGCATTCCTAGATACGATTTGTCTTTGTCCCCCGCCGACGCCACAGTGTAATAATTGCGTTATTTTACCTGTTATTGTTTTCGAACGTCCAGCTACAACAACAACCCCTCCCCACACCATCACTCCCCTTCTAGCAATCATCGGCGCGCGACACCGAGCACGAAACCCCTACAGCATAACCTGCTCCGTACTCTCACGGTGCTGACTTGCGGTTCGGATGATATATCATTTGTAACACTATATATATATATGCTATTAGGTACAACATTCACCGGAAGAAATGAGTGTGTGTGTGTGAACCACATGTTGTGTATTCGAGTTTAATCCGCCAAAAAGGCTTTTTTTATGTCGTATCGTGTCAATTTATAACGTAGATTAATGAACACAAACAATATTAAAATTCTTTGTAAAACTGACGTATTATTATTTATCATGTTTAAAATAAATACTTGTATGATTAATTTCCAACGTTCTATCATTGCAGACTATCTAACAAATACAACACGGGTAAACAATTCGTAAAAAGGTCGAAGTTAATAAAATTAAAATTTTTAAAACATGGCGAAGACGTATTTTGTTGAAATCTAATACGCAACGCCGCGCCGTGGATATTAATCCATAATATTATTCTTATTTAAAATTGGTGACTACTAATATATAAAGGTAACCAAAAATAAAAACAGAAAAAAATAGGGATACCTATTATAGAGCTTACGAAGCAATAATTCTGAAAAATATTAAATTTAGATAAAAGTATAATATACCTACCTAGAGATGTAGGTGCCTATAATAAGAGAATGACGCACATTATTTTAATGTATTACTAATAACTATTGTTGCTTAAATTTCAAAAGATCAAAGTTTTATAAATACCTTCCTAATAAACTACCTATCATCGAAATATACTCGTATGTTTCAAAATGGCAAACAAAATACCTACTTAGGTTTTGCTATTTAAAATACAAATATATTGAATGGGGCCCATAATATTTTCGAAGAAAAAATAATTAAATAAAATTTTTTTACAAATTTAATATGTACGAAAAAAGTGGGTAATAGGTAGGTATTTACAGCTATAGTATCATACCATGCTAGGCATAAGGTATATCAAACATAGTTTACCTAAAATAGTTTACCTAATCATAATGAGCTATGATAGTACGCAAAGCTGCTCATATATTTTATTTAGTTTAATGCTTTTTTTTTTGTAAATATGTACTAGGCACTAACCATTTTTAATTTATTTAAATATTTATTAAATACTGTTTGTACAAAATACTTTTTTAATAATTATTCAGCTATTATCAAATAAGCTGTTATCAAATTCAAGTATAGGAAAGCATGTAGATTATAAAAGTACTAATGTATAAATAGAAATTTATGAAAAAGGGTGGGTAATTTGGAAAGGTGGGACATTAACTTGTTAAAAAGTTAATTAATTTAGTTTTTAACTTATTATAACTTCTTCAGTTAAATTTTTTATTCTTGTAACTTAAATTTTTTGATAGTTAATTATTATTGTCGTGCAGTTAAGTTAATTTTCTTTTCGAGTCATGCGTAATCAACTAGGCAATACTGATTCGTCGACTTATATTTTCGAATTATGTTTTAAAAAAATCAAATTTTTTACACAGTGTTAAATGGCATGGTAAATGTTTGTGTATAACAAAATACTATGTTAGTTTATGACTTAAAAATATATTGTACCTTCAAAAAAATTAACTATTTTTTAATTGAGATAAGTTAATTTTATTTTCTATCTTAACTTTAAACTTATCCAGTTAACCTTTTTTTCTTTGTTAACTTTTAACTTAACTGAAGGCAATTTAATTGAATTAACTTAACTTTCCACGGTTAATTATTTTCATTAACTTGCCCACCATTAGTAATTTGAAGTATTTTTAATTATTGACTAATCAGCCATGTAATAATAAAAAAATGAATACTTCATATGTTTGGTAATTATTGCTCAACATCCAACAATATATTATTAATTCACGTTTAATGTTTTCGTTAGTTATTCATTAAAATATTTGTGCACGTATTATTTTAGCGAAAACAATGGCATTGCAAACAAAATAAAAATGTCTATTTGAATTGACTGGTGAAATAGATCTTGTAAATGATAAAATAAAAAAACATAATAACCGTCATTAAAAGCGCATAACACAAAATCGCTCACTAACAGTGGATGGCGAGGGCTATAGTACAAAACACGCTTCCTTCTTTTGTCAAATATAATTATATGTCTTCGTATTTGTGTACCTACTCGGTTCCAGAATTACATTTTAATTATTGTACTGCTTTCCCCGAATTGTTGCCCAGTAATAGATAAAAGAAGATTGTTTCTTTTGTTTAGTACACGTACCTATAGGTACACGTCAATCATTTAGATTCAAAAATATTTTTTATTGTACAAATACTGACAAAAGTGATAATTTCTGAGCTCATTAAATTAAAACTATTATAAAGACATAATGTTTGTTTCATTCCTACGTGTATTTAATGGTTTTAAGCCAGAACAAATTAGTTTATCTATGAACATTTCACAGAATGTTTTTATTTTTGAGAAATAGTAATAACAATAAATTCATTTTTGATAAGTTGAAAAAAATGTTATTAATTAGAACTTAAAATAAATATTTAAGATACTAGAACCTTGAATTAAAAAAAATGTGAGAAAAATGAAAGGAAAACAATATTATATAGGTAGGAAGTTGAATAAGTCAAAAGTATTTACTTGAACCAATATCATTCCATACAAGTATACATCCACGTAATCATAATCACACTATTATGAGATAATCTTTTAGTGTGTTATTTTCAAGTAAAGAAACTTGTAAGAGATCCACCAGAGTACTTTGGAGACAAATCATACTAGTATAACGATTAGTCTAAAAAATGTTATTTATTTTTATCGTTGGCGCAAGAGTTCGTCGAAATTATCTTAACTGGCAAGTTCTTGGCGTCAAACGAAAATGACAAATGGCCTCTTGTCATTGGCCAGTATAGTGGCTACTAATATTTGGAATGAAAAAGTTGGTGTGATACATGTAATTCCGGGTGTATTTTCTCTGGCAAACGCGACTGGGGTTACGGGACGGCAACATGGTAGTGGTGTCGGTGGCGGGAAGGAATGGGCCTTAAGAAGTTGGATATCTTTCAAAGTAAACAAAAGGAAGGATCCAACGATGTTAAAAGCGACCAAACAGAGCCAGAGGGTAGGCGGTTGAATCTTCTCCGGGCAGCGAACACGCACATATATACACAAAGAAACAGTGTTGAACTTTTAACAACTTCTCCGGTGGACGAGTGGAATGGTGTCTAATGCTTAGATTTATCCGGGACGCACAAAGTTTCGTTATAAAATTGGTGCATTGTTTCTGACAGTTGAATAGAAACGCACACACAAAACATGAGCGCATGCGCACGCACACAAACATACAAACGAGACTTACTCGAACAGACTTACACACACACACACACACACACACATATGAGCGTGTAAGGAGGTAGATAATATGTCCGTCAGTGTTCGTGAGATGAAGAGACACATAGTAGTTCGTAGCTCATTGTTTTTCTGTACATTATAGGTGGTTTAACAATGGATATGTGTTTGATATGGAATGTTTTAATATATAGCATAAGATATTATCTTCAATAGTATATTTAAGAAAATTACTTTGAAATCAGAACAGCAAAAAAAGAAAGAAAACATTACCACAGCTAATTAAATATTATTATAATAGTGGAAAACTGAAATTGACACTACCGAATTATTTATAAATACTTTAAAATCAATCAATAGGTTAATGGGTGTTATTAGGATATTAAAACTGAATTTAAAATTAATATGAATATAAATTTTAAAAAAAATTTTAATTAAAAGCAATGTAATTACTGCAAGTATTGGCTAGAAAACTTCTCGCTGAGTAGGGAAAATAGGGGAATGTGAGCGTCACGATAAATCATTGTATTCGAACTACAATAACTCTTAGCAGAGTTCAATTTATCAAATTTTGTTAATAACGGGTGACTGTAGCTCACATATTATTTCTCTATCGTTCTCTGGCAAATGTAGGTTAGGGTATAAGGTACAATAATATTCGAAAAATTACAGCGTAAAATCAATAGGGACTGAAAGCATTTTTCTTACCGTTTCAAAACGCGCTTATCAAACACAAAATAAAAAAAAATGTGTGGCTCTCTCGCTACGCGTAGATCGAAAAATGTTGAGGAATAAACCTATCATAATACTCTTCGCCGTAGCCATTACGTAATATGGAAACTTTAACAGCGAAAAAATGTCCATTACATAATATACGTATAAGTATTACAATATTACAATACTATATACAATCACCATAGTAGAAACACGTATTTATAACGACGGTATTTTATTTTACGAGTAAGTGTCGTGCATTTAGAACGAACGAACGAATGATTTTTTTTTTCGTTCGAAGAAATATAATATATTATATATAGGTACCTACTATTATCATCGTCGACCGATGTCCCGTGCATACATATATATTTTTGGGCGTTCCGGACGCTCAGACTACTTAATAACCATCCGAAGGCAGTATTATGTTATAATGATATATGTATATTATGTATATAGTATATGCAGAAGCCGTTATTATATATTATATTGTTGTTGCCGCAGTCACCGCACACAACAAAGATAACCGTAATATAATATTAAACGCATTTAAATATAAACACCTGACAACGTACCGGAAGCAAGGCCCGTTAACAGAAAAAAAAATATATTACATTGGGTTTATACTATATATACAAACATATATGCAGAAATATAGCAGAGATCCTGTGAGCATTTAAATTAAATTATGATAGTAGAGATATGGAAAGATAAGGAATGGCAAGGTCGCATATATATAGGGTGTAATTGAAATAACTCACAAATGTAATTAAGATGGCGTGATACCCTGTCTCAAGCTATCTATTGGGCATTACATAAAATGTCACTATATAAAATAATAACTATTGCATCTATAGGCTAATATATTAAAGTTTAAACAGTCATTACCAAACTTAAAAAATAAGAGAATATTAACAACACAAATTATTGTTCATCCAAAAAATTAAATCGTTTCACGCTGTACCTAGAAATTACACTAGATTATTAAATAATATTGTATTTAAAAAATATACGACTATACATATAGGCTATATTGTTACCTTAATAGGAATAATAACCTATATAGATATACACCATAATTTTGTTTTTTTCATAGTGTAATTTCGATCACTGGATACACAGTACACATGTGATACATGGGTATCATGTCCTTGACTATAATCAATAACCCTGTATGTAATAACTAATAAGAAATAACTTTTATTTTTGGGGTTTATTTTATTAATGCATCATAGTTATATATGAAAAAAAAAACAAAATTTAAAAATTGATTAGAACAAAAGTTATTTTCTAATTATTTCATAGTTAATTATATTAATGAGTTCTTTATGATACATAATGTTTAATAATATATATTATATAATATATATGTGAGAGAGATTGTGTGTGTGTATGTGTGTGTGTGTGTGTGTGAATATATGCACTTCCTTGATGGGACTTTGATGTTGTGCTTGTGTCACGTGGAATTCTCACCCTCTTCCTGTATATATTCTGCAGTTCCCCACCCGTCGCGTGATGGAATATCTCGTCACCGCCATAAAGCTCGCATATGCGATATGATGCCATTAGCTAAGGCACACGCGCGTCAAGCGTAATGGCTGTTGTCGCCCCACCGCGCCACCGAAACACATAATATATACCCGCGGGTATACGACAGCGATTGTGGTAGTCCGGTGTAAGACTCCTCCACTCGCAAACACACATACGGAAGCTAATTGTCGTTTCCCATTATCTCAGCCAAGTATAATTTGCAATATTAGATTTTCGTGTCGGTAAACGTTAGGCGAACCCCCCCCCCCCCGACCATTGTAAATATATAAATACGTAGTAACTCAGGTAACTCGAGTATTCAATAGTCATCAAAACATAAAACATTTATTATGAATTAAAATTATTTCAAGTATTTAATGAAGGTATAAAGTGTATAGAACCCAAAATTACTATCGCTACCTACTAGTGAACCCATCAAATGAAAAAAAAGTGCGATGTGCACGATATATACGTGCAAAAATATTTTCACCATCCTACTTTGTTATTTTCGAAATCTGACTATGATCAGATCTATTATTGGATATTAATATATTATATAATTGCATAACTATTTTTCTATAAATTGTAATATTTTATAATTTGGTTTTTTTTCTCATGGTACCAGTGATTTTAGTTTAAATATTTTGATTATCAAATATATGTTGAAATAAACTATACATATAGGTTACATTTTGATGCTAAATGATTTTCTTAAAAATTTTGAAGTATTGAGCAATTAATATTGAATTTAAAATAATTAGTACATATGTAAAATAGAATGGCTAATAAATTTGTGAATACTATAAATACTTATAATAGCAAATTTTGATTTTTATTTGAACGGAAGTGAATTTATAACAGGAAAACATGTAACTACCTAAGTAAGTATATTCTTATACCAGTTATAAATATACATACCAACATAATTTGTATATTCAAGAAATGATAAAATTAATCTACCTACCTGGTGAAAAGAACTTTCAAATATCAAAGTTAAATAAAAATAAAAATTGTGTGTCTTAAATGTAATAATACAAAGATATATGTATAACAGAGAATCACAGTTTACTTTATTAGGTAATAATTTTGTTTTATTATAGTATAATATATTAATACATTTTGTTCACTAATAGTAGATGGTTAAATTATATTATGCAACAGACAGCTATACAATATGTAAATTTTAAATTAAATAAAAACATATAATTTAGTCTCACACTAAATTACATTGGTAACTATAAATATTAAAGATCGTTTTCGTTATAAAAACAACGCTCTGAATTAAAAGATAAAATAGTAAATAGTTTTTGATGGTCTGCTTACACAGTTCGGGTATTTGAACTTTTAAAGATTTTGTCCGGCGCGTGAACTTGTATTGAACTTCAATACAATTTATTTCTCTTTAAATAACGATGAATATAGGTACACCGAATGAACTTTTAAACTATGTCATAACTCATAACTACACAAGTCTTTAAAATAACGTTCTAGGTATATGTCAAACTTCCAGATAACTAATACCATAAACTGTACAATAAGGAACTACTTGATATGGTACTGCCTACGTCTGGTTGCACAATACACTTAAATACAATATTAAGTTATAACAGATATATTTAAATTAAATAAAAGTAAATTTGTTACTATTACATATTTTTTTTTCATAAAATCTCGTATAAGTATCTACTAATTGTATACTTCAACATAAATTTAAAGATATTTATATTAAAAAAAAAAATATCATTACAACCCATACTATATTGGGTATCTCGATCAGCTTATATGTCACGTGAAAGTGCATACAATCATACCAAAAGCTATAATGATAGTTATATATGCATATGTATATCAGGATGTCTGGTTTTTTTTTAACAACCCAGAACTGAGTGGTTTTAGACATCTATAGTTTAAAATGTTCAAAAGTTTATAAACATAATATATTACCTATATAAATAGGTACTGATTGTATGTTAAGATAAATAAATTAATAAGTGAATAATAATAATATAAAGGAATCAATATCTAAAACATCAAAGGCCATGATGTCGAGTCTAAAATATGTTAAAACATTGTATAAATAATATATTATTTTATGTAGGTATTTAAGTTGACACCAATTCCATAATTATTTTTTAGTTTTCAACTCGACGCAACATTAGTCATGTCTATTGTCTACACATAGTTTATGAACTGTAAAAAGTGATATAAATGTAATTTCCTATATTATAGTTTGTCAGCTTATTGTCTACGTCGTCGTAGACTCTGCGATGATCTAATATTTGGGGGTGGCGTACCTACATGCGATAGGTAATATATTATATCACCCAGAACAACTGGTAAGACCGATTCTTCTGATGCGAAACGGACCAACTCCCTCCTGTCTATCCAAAAACACACAATTATTAATTTAATACATTTTCATGAGCAAACACCTCGCAATCGTTTTGCTTTTCACACACACAAGCACACAAACACACACTGTTCCCACGCGTATGTCTTTAACTGATATTCCCACCCTACCATAACGTCATTATGTATTTT